CGTTGGCGCAGCCCAGGCGCCTGCAGCACAAACGGAGGACACAAGCTTCTTAAGCTCTGCAAGGGGCCGGCCTCTGAACCGAGCCCAAGGTATACCAAGCCTGGAGCCGAGGTAATTACTCCACTGTTGGCAGTAAAATTACACTTGGAACTGTTTCACAGAAGTCACCAGGGCCTCCCTAGCTCTGGGCCCCATCTACAGCAGGGGCTCCAGTTTCAAGGAAAAGTACCCCTACGAAACTGGAACCGCGTTAGGGAGAAACACGGCCGGACTGCAATTCCCAAAAGCAGCCGCGGGCCCTCCGCATCCGGGACACCGTCTGCAAGGATCCCTGGGTATTGTGGTCCGTTCCTTTGGCAGCAACCCTCGGCCGACGGTAAAATTCCAGCCGAACCGAGGACCACAACTCCCAGCAACCCTTGCCGCCATGCGGGGGGTCTTCACGTTCTCGTGGCGCGGCGCAGGCGCACTGAGTCCTCGGCGCGGACCGCGCAGACTGAATAATAAAAGGGGAGCGGCGAAGAGGCAGGCCGAGCTCAAAAGGTTCGCCATCACTGGACTAGACTCTAAATTCTGGTGATTAAAATATGAGTTTCATCTATTTGCAGGCACAGCCCGAGAAACCGCAGCACTACACGTACGTAGAGCCCCCCCCGCCGCGCGCGCACGCCTGACGTCAGCGGCCAGCGTGAGTCACGCGCGCAGGGAGAGCGCGAGGCGGCCTCTCCCTCCCCCCTTCCTCCTCCGGCCCGGCTCAGACCGGTTCCAACCTGCTTGGGCCGGTCCCAACTGCCTTCAACTGCCACCAACCTCTGGTCGGGCCGTGGGGCGGGAAACTGGTCGCCGCCGCCGAGTGGGGAAGGCGGGAGATCGGGGTGCGGAGTGCATACATCTGAGGCCGGGCCTTCGAGGCCTAACTGCTCCTCAGACCGCAAACCACAGCACCAGGCGCTTGCGGGGCGATAAGACGTCCAAGACACGACCAGCACGAGATCTTCAGGGCCCGGCCCTGGAGCCACCTGTGAATGACGCGTTAGCACCAAGCCCAGGCGTGTTGTGTCCCCGAGGCCCGTATGTTTCCCACGTACACAGTTGACCTCACAGGCACCCTCAGCATGATGGGGTCCGAGTCTGTTCTCAGGCCCAACCGAAATGTGGCATCGGAGGGGAAGCCCCACGTGCGGACACTGCCCGGGCCCAGCCAGACGGGAGGCCGCTTCCCGGGAGCCTGCTGGTGTCCAAGTGCAGGCCCTGTCGGCCCCTGTCTTCCTATGTCTTTGGAAGGCACGTTGAGCAACTACCTAGTGCTATAGGTGCTCTGGGAGAAAGAGAAGAGGCCCCTCCTATTAAGCAAAATGCTGGTTTCCACCTTCCCTGATGGCCTTGGGGTGCCTCGCCCCTGGGGCTGCTGCGCGATGTGCGCGTGTAGGAGGGTCCCCAAGTGGATGCCCCTCTGGGCTCGCTGCAGGTTTGCAACGTGGGGGCCCGCACAGCCCTTCAGAGCCGCTGCGGCGCCCAGAGCAGGAAGCGTCAGTTGGAGCTGAAAGAACTCAAGGAGGAGCTCTGGCCACAAGTAAAACCCATCGGGGAGCAGTTCTGGGGCTGGGGGGGCATCCGGCTGGCCTCTGTGTGAGGTCCTCCGCCATCGCTGAGATGGCGCGAAACGTCCTTGAGAGAGGCGGGAGGCGGACTCGTGCTAACGCTCACCTTCCCAGGCGCTGTGGCCTCGCTGGTCCTTCCTCCGCCTCCTTGTTGCGGTGACGGGGCCTTGCCTCCGAGAGTGCTGATCGGGGGGATGTTGCGGTCAGGCAACAGGATGGTCTTGGGGTGCACATGGGCAAACCTCGCATAAAGTTGGAACTCTATACTCTCTGGTTGCTCAGATCACGTTTCCCAGGAAAATGCCCGTAACCTTTTGAGTGAGTCTGGTTTCGGCAGCCTCTTTGGGTGTGGTGTTGCCATGGAGCAGGCTTTGCGATGGTTGTGGAGGTGACAGGTGGACCAAGCCAATAGCCCGGTGTAGGGAGATGTTCATGTCCGAGTCTGTGTCCTCATTTGTTGAAAATCTCCCCTTCCCTTCCTTGGTGGGGTGAGCGCAGAGCGAGTAGGCTTGGCGCTGGAGGTGGCGGGTAAAGCCACAGTAAGTGTGGGTGGGTGAGTGGAGATTGTAGCTGTTTCCATCCATTTTCTGTAA